ACAATACTACCTGAAGATTTTATATCGTTTAAAACACACATGTATGATTCATTATTATATTTTCATCTGTCATTTGAAAAAAAACAAACAATAAAAATGATGGCAAATCCACATTTTCTCGTCGTACATTATGCATATGTTTTAATAGAGATCACTAATGATAATCTTAAATATTTTGATTTTTTTTGTTATCCTAAAAATACTAACAACAATAACAATCATCAATTACATGAAGAATTTATATTAAACAGCAAGGGGCAGTGTTGTCGATTGAATTTAGGCCAATAAAATAATGCTAACAGAAAACAAAATGAAAACAAAACGATGAAAAAACACACAAATACATTAACCATTGTACGTACATGTTATATAAATGTTTTGGATATATATTATATATGAAAACAAAGATCAGGAATATAGAAATTTTCATATTCACAAGCTTTTATTTTTAAATCATTCAGAATTCACATTTTGATATATTATGTAAGAATTTGATGAATCACCATATTTTTATTTTTCGTATGTTTGCATGTCCAAAAAGCGAAAAAACGAATTGTCCTGGAGTTTTAAGAATTCTTTGAGTAAAGCACATTCGCCATTATAGACAAAATCTGCAGCAAACATTTCTCTTTCATTTGGTCTATTGATTTATTTTTATTTCTTCATTGATGATTGTAGCATGTGTATATTTTTCGCATGCTTTCCATAATAATCCGCAATACAAATTTCAAAATTTTTTCCTGGTTTCAAATTATTTGATGACCATTCAAAGAGTTCAATAATTTTTTCTGTTGGAAACAATCGTTGGTTTTGTATTTGGTTTTACATTGAAAAATTCCTTTTTCTTGACTAGGCAAAACCATAACACCACTAACAACATAAACCACCATTCATTGTTAAATGAAAAAAAGGAATAAGAAAATCAATTTGCGAATGAAATGAAATTAATTTGTACACGCACATATAACTAATTTTATGAGCTTCTATATAAAAACTTTCTCCAATGATTGCATCACATGGTATTAATGATAACACATTAATCGAATCAAATTTATGATAAGAATTGTGAAACACAGATGGAAAATATAAGTTAGATAGAAAAAATATAGTCAAAAAATTGATCAATAAAGTTTCTGTTTTCTGTTTACATGATTTTTTTTGTTCTCATTCTGATCATCATCATCATCATCACTCACCATCACCATACATGCAAATGTCAATTTTCAATTTTTGTTCTCTCATATTTAAAGAATTCTAAATCGCCAATCATTCATTGTAACTATTTGTCAAATTGGTTTAATTCAAACATTTTCACATTGTTGACATATTCAATTAAGAATTTTTTTTATCATTTAGTAATGAACATTTAGTTTTGTCTGTTTTTATTGAATATTTTTTCGTTGTATATTATTTTTTGGTTTTAGCATTGTCTTTTTTTGGGTATTCAGTTATTTTTTAAATTTAATTTAAAAATTTACGATGCTGATGTGCGATGTTGACCACTTAAAGATAGTATGCATTTTTTGAAAGCATAATAATCGACAATTGCATTATTTGTACCAATCAATTTCATTATTGTCGTTTGATTTTGATTATCGTTATTGCTGTTGTCACCATGATCAAAATGATCATGATTTTCATCATCATATACTAGAGCACCATTAAAACATACGAATACTTCATTTTGACCAATTTTTGTACATTTAACATTAGCAATTTGTTCTTGATTGACATCCATAATAATTGTCTGATCAATATTTGCACGAATCCATTCAATTTGAGCATTGTACGTTACAATATAACCACCATTTAGTAACAAAACGAATTCTGTAGAATTGAAATGAGTTTGAGTGATCAATAGAAAACCATCGATGCTCACAATTCCAATGTTAACATTTTCATTTTGTTCATTTAGAATGATCTGATCTAAATTCATCTCTTCAGTAGTTTGTAATTGAAAATTTTGCAACATAATATTATTATGTTCATCATTTTTGATGCCACTTTTAATAACGATAACATTTTGGCCATTCTTATTGGGAACGATCATTGTCACAGGACCAAATTTAATATTTTCATTTTGATCATTTACAATTGTGACACCATATAATTGATCACCATCACTTACCAAATAGGCTCCAGGCGGGCGTGACATTTTTTTCAATTCATCTTCAAAATTATCGTCAATATCTGTCATATTGTTTGACTTTGATCGTGGTAAAATAATTCGATCATTATTTTCCATAAATCGATACAAATTATCACGATCATGACCAATCAATGGTAAAATTTCAGTAATGGATAATCCACCCATACAATTATAAACATTTTTCAATTCAAACCAATGATTATCGGTTATTTCATTCATATTTATTTTGGTTTCATTTCGAATTTGACCTTTACTATTTACGAATACGGTTTGATCGAATAATAATCCTTGTTGTCGAATTTCATCATCACCATCGCACATTTTTTTCTATTCTTTGTTTCTTTAGCTTTGTTCAATCGAACTTAAATGTTGGCTTCTGTGTCTTGCTTTTTTTGCTGTCGTTTTCAAAATTCACAAACAAATCAATCAATCGATTTGATCTAAATGATCGATATTTTTATAGAAAATCACAGTGTTGTTGTTTCTTATCTGAGGTTGGCTTTTATTCTCCAGAAAAAACAAATTATTAATAATTTAATGAAATATAATTTTATTCAAGAATTTTTTTTTTGATTTTAATCAAAATAAGTAATTTTTTCCATCAATAATGTTTTTATTGTTGAAAACAGCAAAAATAATAATAATAATGTCCAGCATAATTTGAGACATTGGATAAACATCGAAGGTGATAAACTAACAAACACAAACACCAATCAAATAAAATTCTCCTCTTTCACTGTTTTTCTTTTGTCTGTTGTTTAGCTGTTCCATCTAGCAATAAATTAAAATGTTGCAAATTTTCATTTTCTTCAATGATGATGATGGTTGTTGGGCTTAATAATATTTATTTTGTTGCGTAGTTTGTTCCTGATTCTAGAATATTTCCAATTTATGATGGTAGCGTGATGATGATGATGGAACATGTATAGATCAGTGTTTCTCAACATTTGTTTGTCATTCAGATATTGGATTTAAAAATAGTAATAATTTTCTGTAACTATCTTGATTTTGTTTTGTTTGACAAGCTCTGATAAATGATGAACGATTTTTTTCTTTTTAATATTTTGTTATTGTTTTGAAGGCCATTTGGTCTGGGTAATAATTGGCAGCCATAAATGTGATGTCATTCCAAATTTTTTTCCTTAAATTTTCTTCTCTTTTATTTGATTCAGTTCCAATTTCATCTGTTTGTTTTTGGTTGTTCTAGTTTTGTTAGATCAATTAATTTTTTTCAAATATATTCTTTAATGGTTTGATGGTGGGTGGTAGAAGGTGAATGGATGTGTTGTTCATCGTTGTTCAAAAGAAAAACAAAAACTGTAACCACAATTATAAATCCACATTTACAATAAATTTTTCTTCCTTCAAGAACGGAATCAAATCTTTGAGTAATTAATGGATTTATTTATTTATTTTTCTTTCTAATTTTCTCAATTTACTTTTCCATTCATTTTTATTATCATCATCAACAACAACTACAATAATAACAATGGATAAAATAGAAAGAAGATTTGTACACCGAAGTTTTGGTCCAATAGGGCTGAATTTTTTTTCGATGTTTTTCACTTCCATTTTAACTATTTTATTATTCGATTTCGATTTTGTCATAAATCTATTTTCATTATATTCAAGGTTATTTCAATGTCATAATTAATGAAAAAATAAACCTAAATTAATAAATATTGTAGGTTTTACAATTTTATCGAAATCTTATATTCATTGATTTGATATTGGCCATCTTTAACTAAAGTTTTTTTCTATTGAAAAAAATGACAATGGAAAAATTGAAATTGAATTTGAAATGATTTTTTTAGAATTGAAGATTGAAAAATTTCAAATATTTTTCTCTTTATTTAATGTTTTTTTCTCATAAATTCATACATGCAGTGCAAGTTTGTTCATCAAATCGAATAAAATGACTAAATAAATTTAATTCCAATATATGCGTATTAAAGCTTCATTCAACTGTGTGATGAAATTATTTCCCATCAAGTAGTGACTTTTTTTCCAATTTTCATATCTTTAAAGATTTGCTGTTCAATTCTTTTCATTAAAATTTGATCTTATAGTTTGGAAAAAATGTATTTTTATTCGCTTTATATGATGGAAAATAGTGAAAGAAAGAATTAATATCAATTGAAGAATTTGAAAAATCCTTTAACATGCTCTAAACTAACCAAATTTAATTCTATTGTCATCATTGATGAATTAATTTATTTCTCGTTCGTTCCAGATTCATTTGGATGAACAAAAAAAAATTTAATAGAATGAATGAATCCATCCGTTCTTTCTTTCTTTTTTATGATAGTAACTAGAAAAAACCAGTGGATTTAATTGAAAATTTCTTTGTCCTCAATTTTTTTTCGGTACCATTTATTTGTCAATTGAAATTGATTTAGAAATTTTGCTGAATACTGATTAACATCCCATACTATTGATCATGATTATCATTTTGAATTTTATTCTTTTCAACAACCAATCTCTAAAAGTGAATATAATGAATAAGAACTTTTATTTAACAATGAATGATAATGATTTGAAAAATTTAATCATTTTTATTTCTAAAATTTTAAGATTCTTCAGAAAAAAAATTATTTCAATTTTGTCAATGTAGCATTTTGTTCAGAAAACGAAATAATTAAATTCAATTCATAAAGAAATGTTTTTATTATCGATGTAGAATCCAAGAATTCAAATGCTGATAGTATATGACATGTAAATGTCGACAAAAACGATAATACTTTGATTTGATTTAGAAACATAATAAAAATATAAATTGAATTGTTTATAAATAAATTTTCTTTTTTCTGTTGTATCTTTTCACTTTTTTTATATGTCGTCTTTATAATAGTTGAATGGTTCAACATATGATGGATCAGTGGCTGCAACATTAGGCGGTGTTGGTCGTAATATTGCCGAATCTATACAACGTTTACAACAGCCATGTTTACTTATCACAGCTGTTGGCCATGATCAACCGGGTCAGATGATTATTTCTTCAGTTGCTTCTGCTATCAATAATCAGGTAATATAAAATAAAATATAATCTTCAAAGTGATGGAGAAAAAAATTACAAGCAGATATAAGAAAATTGTTCATTCTTTCTTAAATTTCATAACATATTTCTTAAGTAAGTCTTCCCGACAAGTGTTTAATATTTGACAATTTCTAATATATATTGAAAAAAGAAATGGAAAAAACTACAAAATTTAACAGGAACCCGGATATTATTAAATTTTTTTTGTTGTTGTTATATAGACAAACGGAATTTCATTAATAATATCCGAAAAAAATCTTTAGAAGATTCTGTGAAGGCATATAAATTTATCATCACACTATTCCAATTTTTTTATTTCTTATATTTTGAAATAAAATCTAAAGGATATGACTAATGGCATACGTTTGTTGGAACAATTACCTACATCATCATGTACGGTAATCATCGATAATGATGGTGAATGTCGTTTGATTGTTGGAGATTTTCGTGCGAATCAATGTATTGATAAAAATTTCGTAAGTTTTTTTTATATACTTGTTCATTTATTTATCATTATCAGATAAAAAAAAATTCAATAACATTGCTCATATCATGATGTTTAAATCTTTTTATAAATAGCTAGAGGCTAAATTATACAATGAAAATTCATGGAATCCATTCTTTATCAGTTATTATAGAATTCATTTTTTTTTATTATATTAAAAATTTTTATGAAAAATGTGAAGCAAAAAAAGACATTAATTTTTTTCAATATATTGCATTAGCATTGTTATTGTACATATTAGAATGAAATGAAGAATTGTTTATTTTTGGATTTTTTTTCTGTTGGACAGGTATTTCGATTTGAAACAGAATTGAAACAAGCACCTATCGTAATAACTGATGCAAATCTACCCACTGAAACAATGAATTATGTTTGTCAACAATGTCGATTGTCTAAAATTCCGGGTAAGTTGCTTTTCTTTTCTTTTTTAATTTGCAAGTGTAATGAATTTTAATAATAATAATGATGATTATGTTTATAATTTTCAACTAAACTGCTGTAAATTGTCTTGAACTTGTTTGCGATTGAGGTGTCATTGGTTGTTGTTGCGGTTGTTGTGAAAATCTTGATATCGATGCATATGGTGATGAATGTATAGAATCGATTGGTGATCTTGCTCCTTGTTGTTGTTGATGATGAGATTGTTGATGTTGTTGTTGTTGATGATGATGATGATGATGCTGTTGTCGACTATGTGGATAATGTGGACTTTGTCCCGTTGTTGATATCGGTGGCTGTGGTGGTGTTTTCAATGGTATTGTTTCAAATCCATTAGTTGCACCGCTTCCGATTGATCTAATAAAATGTTTTTTTTTTGAAAAAAAGAGAAATTTTCATCAATTAAATAAATTATATGATTCGTACAAATTCAAATAAAAAGTTCAAGAAAATCTATAATAGTAACAGGAAACTTAATTAATAATAGAAAAATATATTCATCATCATTGTCCATTCAATCTTCTATATATATCGGTTTTATCGATAATTTATCAGTAAGAATTTTTCCCTTATATGACCACATTATAGATTCTGTTCTATTATGTATATATAAGATGCGTGAGATAAGGAAAAAAATTGAAATTCATTCAAGCAAAATCGATCTGTTGTTGCAGTTTTTTTGTATCAAGCTTCTATGTATGATATTCTATTTACTATTTTTTTGTAAATAAAATTATTCTTGCCTCATTGTTTTTATGAGCATCTTTTTCCGTTTAGCCTTAAGTTATTTGTGTAAATGTTTTTGTCATATTTAATATACAAGATGTTCATTCAAAAGGAAAACAATTAAATGTTCAGGCAAGTAGAAAGTGAAAATGGCTATTGAATAGCCTTCATCATCATGAATTTACAATAATGGCAGCAGGAAAAAAAGTAAACAAACAGAAAAAAATCTTAGAAAAACCTTGAATGATGCATGTTATACACAAGATTAGTAAAACGTTGACGTTTTTGTCGTGCTCTTCTCATTTCAATTGCTAACATGATGGCAGCTGATGCATTTAATAATGTTGATAATATGGCCAAATAGAATGACCAATCAAGATGATTGAATCGGGGATTCATAAGCCATGATCGTACATCATGTTTTACTGCAAACACCAACCAGCCTATGAATCCAAATATTGCTGATAAAAATTTTTTCATTAAATTTAATATAAAATAAGCAAATATATTGAACGAACCGGATAGACATTTGAATAAAGAACCAAGGCCAATCATAACAACATTATAACGGATTAAAAAGTGCATAATAGGTATACTAATAATCATTAAGGCAGCGGTGGAGAATATCATTGAAAATGTAATCATCACTTGTACAAATATGAACCATCCTAATGTTTGTAAGTAATGAAAGTCATTTTTCATTATACATTATCATCGATCGCAATATTATTACCTGGTTGAAGCCAATCACGAATATTATGATATTTTGGATCATAAATCCATCGACAACCGGTGAAGGTTTCATCATATTGATATGGTGGATGTCTATATTTTCATAATATGCAAAAGAAAAATTAGATTTTCGATAACAACAGCATTTTTTTCAATAATAGCCTTACTTATAATGATCAAAACAGAATGTCCATAATCCTATTTATATTCATTTTAAACAGAAAGAATAATAAATGAATTTTATGATAAGAATCAATAAGCGAAAATAAAGCTTACCTAGCCGTACAAATGAGCTATAGGTATATTTATGTGCTGAAAGCCAATAAGGGCTTGAAAAGGCGATTATTATTGTGATCAAACCGAATAATCCCGTATACGAAGCGGCAATCAATAGAAAAGATGTACGATAACGATATTTACGCATTGTCGGTCCTTCCGATATGACCGATACACCATCCACTGAAGACATTTTAAAGATTCTCTACAAGTTCTCAAATCATGAGACATTCATCGAGATTCTTTATTTAAACAATTTTTTAAAAACAAAATGTCAAAATGAATGATGAAAAAACATCGTGTTCATCAACATCGAAAAATGAAAATAGTAGAGGTAAAGAGCACCGACCTGTTTAATTCAAACAAGAATACAACACTCGTCAACACAATACATGCAACGCGTTGTATACACAGTAACGAAATGGCCACACCAAAAGCTAGCTCATTCAACGTTGAATGTGAAACTATGGTTACCTGCATGATCATGATGAATACATGTTTTCAGGTTTCATGCTCAAATGAACAATAATATGCAAGGTGGCATTTATTATTAAATGTATAATGAAAATATTAAAAGATTTAAGAATCGAATACGATTTTTTTCAGTCATTTAATTTCAGATATAAAAGTTAGTTGAAAAATTATAAATAATAATTTTCGAAAATGGATAAATGAAAATGTTATATTTACAGGAATCGAAATAATGAATAATTGATAAATATAGTGTATGATGTCTTTAGGTGTTTTGCTTTGTTTTTTTTCTTCTGGAACATTTGTTATCATCGATGTTGTTGTTGTTGTTGTTGATGTTGAAGAGAATGTTTATTTCCTTCCATGTTGTATATTTCTTGTCGCTTTTTCAATTCTTTTTTGAAAAGAATACGACTTTCAGCCCAGAATAATGCCGATGCCATCCAGGAAAAGAATGCACCAACAACGGCAAAACCAAAAGACCACGAAAGAAAATTATGTTCATGATCAGGCATCCAATCACGATCATCACCACGTATACCAAATATAATGACCGCCAATGTTGTAAATAAGGCTAGATATAAAAATAGAAATGAAACAATGATCAAAATAGAAAAAAATTCTACAAACCAGAGAAAAACATGACCGATGATAAAAATTTCATAGCAAGAATTTCTTTTTCAATTACAAAACATAATTGTATGGCAAGAACACAGATACAGGCAATGAGCAAGAAAACAAATCCAATTGTATACAATGCTTGGGTAGCGATAAAGAATCCTAGAATCATTATTAAAAGAAATAAAACAACCAATCAAAAGTATGATTAGAATTTGATTAATATAGATGAAATTTTTATGCTATCATAACAAAATCGTGTGAATGTGTAAAAATGTGAGATTTAAAATACCCGGCATAAGAATATGTTTAATATTTTGATATTCTTCAGCGAAAATCCAACGACAACCGGCATAATATTTATTCATTTCATAATCTTCTGGACTAACAAAGCTACGAAAACAGGTAACCCAAAGACCAAGACGTACGAATTTTGCGCCATATAATCGTCGTTCAGAGGCAAGCCAATATTGGCTAAAAAAAGCGATGAAAACGGAAATGGCCGTTACGGTTGTTGCAGCAATAGCAACAATTCTTGCATCTGACATTCGTTTTCGTTGTCGAATAATACGCCAACCCAAGCCATCGGTACGATCTACAGTACCATCACCATCTTCATCATCATCATGACCATAATCATAATCACTACGATAGTTTTTCATTGTCATTATCAAAATAACGGAAAAATTCAGACACAAATTACAGAAACAAGATCAAATATTTGAAAATGAACGATTGGCATCCACTCGGAGAAAATCAACTTGTAATGTCAGTCACAGCAGTAGCAGGTTGGACGTTGCCATGGAGAGATGGTGATTCTTCGAGTGGAAACACTAACACACATACAATACACACATTGAACATCAAACCTGCTCGCACTCGATGTATACCTTGTATTTCATCTTTCCATTTGATGTTGTATCCAACGTATTTTAGCATTTTTGTTTATATAAAAAACAACTCCCTAGTTTCAGTATTTGATTTTGTTCAAATTTTTTTCTGACCGGAAAAGGAAACAAAAAGGGTGGTAACTTACCTGGTTCAAGAAAATCAATCATAAATGCAAAATCTTCATCGAATATCCATTTACAGCCACGAAATTCACGTTCGAATAGATAGTATGGATCACGAAATTGATGAAAACAAGCTTCCCAAAGACCAAGTTTATTAAAACGTTTAATTGGTTGACGGCCATCGGCTGCTAACCAATTCGGTGTTGAAAATGCAATTGTATTGCAAAACATTGTTAAAAATGTAAAAATGGCCCCATAGGTTACATTTCGAATTTTGGTTATGTCCACATTTTTGGTCATTTTTTTAGCCGCTCGAATTCGTTCCATTGTTGATGATAATTTGATCGATAAGCATGGATGTTTTCATACGAATGAGCTGTGTTTAACTGAATAAAAAAAATGTTGATGCCAAAGTGAATGGAGGAATTCAAGTTGCCAAAGCAACTTGCCAATTTTTTTTTCATGAACCCACTGTCGTCATCTATCGAGTTCAAAAAAAGTTAATGTTTTTTTAAAATTGAAATTTTTTTTCATAGTCTGGTTCGAGCCAACTGATTTGAATTTAATTGATAAATTGTTTCAAATTAATGGAGAAAATTTTGATGCCATCAAATTTTTATCACCAAATTTTAATGAATTACAAGCCATTTATGAAATTTTAACAAGTGGTCATCGAAAAGATTCATCGATTTCACGAGATAAATTATCAAGGTTTGAAATTCTCAATAAATTTAAAACAAATATAGAAACTCTTCTTAATTCTTGGTTAGTGCCGAGTTGATCGAAGTTGTAAATGAATATGGTAGTGAATTATTTCGTCATCTTTCCGGTCTACATTCAATCATTGTTACTGTGGATAAACATGGTATTATCTATGTTGGTCCTGATGATGCATTAGATAGTAAAATGGTTTTGGGACCATGTTCAAATCTCTTTAATAATAATGAAAAGGTTCGATGACTATTTTTGAAAAATTCATGTCAATTTAAAAAAATCATACAATTCTATTATAATAAAAGGTGCCCATTAAATCAGTACACATGATGCAAGAAAATGTAGCCAATGTTGTAAATGTTTCTGGAGCTGGCGATTGGTAAGTGATTTGTTTTGATCTTGTTATAATTTTAATTTAAATTATTTTATCAGTCTTGTTGGAGCTACAGTCTATGGATGGTTAAATCAAATGACATATCGAGATTCACTTCGATTCGGCCTGAAAGCTGCACGATTGTCTGTCGGAACATTCGAAACTGTACCGAAAAATCTTCATACAATCATTTCCAAAACATATTGAGACCAAAGACAAAATGAACATTCCAATATTATGTCGAGAATCTATAGATATATAAAATATATTTTTCAAATAAAATTAAGTTTAAAATATCTATTTAAAAAAAATTTAAATCGAATATACTATCCTTTATGAACGGATCAGTTTTTATGAATTGTGTGTGCGATGTGTGTTTTTTTGTCAGTCTTAATATTGAAATTCATTGAGTTCTGTATTGAAGATATATGCCGCTCATTAGGATCTGCTGATTCATTAATTGGAATTCATAATCATCACACATAACAAAGAATTCCGGAAAATTCAAAGTTGTCATCGTCTTTGATTAATTTTATGTCAATCAAATCTAAAATGGCCACTACCAACAATTCATATCAGATATCGGCTCTTATCCAGAAGGTGAAACTAACCTGTTTAATATTGATGAAAGATTCATTGAATTTTTTTTTTCGTCTAGATGTCTTCATCGGATAAGGATTTCCGTTTTATGGCCACCAATGATCTTCTTAATGAATTGCAAAATGATTCAATAAAATTAGATGATGATGCGGAAAGAAAAATTGTTAAAATTTTATTGGTTCGGTTGAAAGATAATAATGCCGAAGTGCAGAATTTAGCTGTCAAATGGTATGGTTTAATGACAATTTTTTTCAAATTAAAATATCTATTTTCATATATTATTCAGCCTAGGACCATTGATCAATAAAATCAAAGAGCAATTAGCGGAAAGTGTTGTAGATACATTATGTGAAAATATTTTATCTTCGGACGAAGTTCTTAAAGAAACTTCGAGTATAGGACTGAAAACTGTCATTTCGGAAATATCAATTGATTCGAAAAGTTTAGTATCAACCATTTGTATTCGTATAACAAGTAAATTGATTATCGCGTTGAACAGTTTGGTAAGTGAAATCAAATTTTTAATATTTGAAATGTGAATTGATTGATTTGTTTAATGTCTTAGAACAACAATTATTCCGTACAAATTGATGTTCTCGATATTTTCTGCGATTTAATTATGCGATTCGGTCATGTTCTCAGTATGTCATATCCAGCATTGAAAGACTCATTGCTTCCACTTCTCAATAATGGTCGTAATTCAATCAGTAAGCGAACGATAAATTGTTTGGCTGGCATGTCAATCAGCTGTAATGATCAAATTTACAATGAAATCATTAAATATCTTCTAACCGAATTGGAACAATGCGATAATGTACGAGCAAAAATCTATATAAATTGTTTGACAGCCATTTGTAAACATTCTGGTACCCGGATAAGTCCATATATTGATGCGATTGTGGCATTGAATGAAAAATTCCTACAAAGACAAGAAGATGAACTGATTGAAGCTTGTTTACTAATTTTTGAAATTTTTGTACGTCGTTGTCCTCAAGAAATTAATCCACATCTGCAAAAAATAATAAATGTTTGTGTAAAATATATTGCTTATGATCCGAACTATAATTACGATGATAATGATGATGAAGATATGGAAATGGATAATGATGTCGATGAATATAATGGTGAAGATGATTATGAAGAATATAGTGACGAAGATGATATGAGTTGGAAGGTTAGACGAGCATCTGCCAAAACATTGGAAACAATCATCCTAAATCGATTAGATTTATTGGAAGAATTCTATCAACTGATTTCACCGACAATAATCATACAATTTCGTGAGCGCGAAGAAAATGTAAAAGTTGATATTTTCAATACTTACATCGCCCTATTGCGGCAAACCCGTGCTCTAGTTACGAATTCAGAGAATAATGAAAAATTCAAACAAATCCTAAGGGATCAGGTACCGAAAATTGTCCGTTCCTTAGATCGACAGCTAAAAGAGAAAAGCATCAAAACCCGTCAATGTTGTTTTGCATTGCTCAGTGAATTGGTTCAAATTTTACCAAATGCATTGGCTGACCCAATCAATGAAGCGGATGAAAAGAAAAATTATCTAAACAATATAATACCTGGTATTCTTTATTCATTAAATAGCAATAATTCATCATCCAGTATGAAAATTGAAGCGTTATCATTTTTAAACATCTTGTTCAAAAATCATGATGCACAAGTATTTCAAAATTATTTCAACGCATTAATCACTGAAATCCGGAAAGCTGTTAGCGATGATTTCTATAAGATATCTGGTGAAGCGTTGATTGTTCTCACTGAATTGGTTCAGATAATTCGTCCCTCTCTATCAATCGATTCGAATGGTATAGATTCAAATTCCGGAGCTTTTGGTTATCTTGATACATTATATTCGATGACATACGATAAGCTTAAAGTCTCTGATGTTGACCTTGAAGTTAAAGAAAGCGCCATTAATTGTATGGCACAGATTATCTGTACATTTGGCGATCATATGAATGACGAATATCTCTTCCGAACTTTTGCCCTATTTCTCGAACGGCTTAAAAATGAAACTACCAGGTTGACTTGCGTCAGAGCATTAATAAAAATCACCAGGTAAGTCTTTGAAATCATTGCTATTAATTCTTTTGTTTGGTAATTTTTTTTCTTCAACTTTAAAGTACAAGTTTCACCAAGCCACTAAAATTGAACCCAATTTTTCCGGAGGCTTTTTCAATATTGGCGCAGTTTCTAAAACAAAATAAACGTTCGATTAAGATACATACGTTGATTTTATTGGAAAAAGTTTTCAAAAATTACAATGAATATTGCTCGAAAGATATCAATGAAGAAATAGTCAAACAGATGGTACCATTGATTTCAGAATCTGATCTATATATTTCTCAATTGGCATTGGCCGCATTGACAGCAATGATCATGTCTCATAAGGCATTCCATGATATTATACCGCAGAGAATTCTACCTGAAGCATTGGTTCTTATTCGATCACCATTGATGCAAGGTTCCACTTTAATGGCAATGTTGGATTTTTTCCGTGCTATTGTTAAAAGTTCTTTTCCTGGTTTGGATTATAATGAATTGATTGCTCGTTTAACTCAGCCTATTATGCAGCCAAACCAGCAACTACATAAACAAGCATATTATTCCATTTCTAAATGTATAGCTGCAATTTCATTGCTTAATGATAAATATGCTGCATCAATCGTTTCAAACCTTATTGAACAGATTCGTAATCCATCGTTAGTTACCGGAAATAGTGGTGCTGGCGCTCAAAACGAGTCTGTGCAGTTATATTCTCTTTTGACAATTGCTGAGATTGGAAAATCATTGGATCTAGAACAGCTACAACAACCGTTGCAAGAAGCATTGATTCAATCATTTAATTCCTCTCATGAAGAGGTAAAATCTGCTGCTTCAATCTGTCTGGGTAGTGTTTCAATGGGTAACCTTGAGCGTAATTTATCATTTATCCTTGCTGAAATCTCGAACAATTCAAAACGTCAATATCTCTTCCTAAATGCTTTGAAAGAAATTGTTAGCTGCTTATCCGTCGATCACCAAAAAATATGTCATTTGGAACCACATTTTGAATCCATTGTTCAATTATTGATCAAATACGCCCAATGTGATGAAGAAGGTGCACGTTATGTTGTCGCCGAATGTCTAGGTAAATTAACTCTTTTGAAACCGGCGAATCTGTTGCCTGTTTTATTAGAAAATCTTCGCAATGGCTCAACGAATATACGTGAAACAATCATTACATCGATTCGATTTGCTATCGCTGATTGTAGTCCACAAGCAGAATATTTCACCATGCTAAAAAAGCTGATAGGCGCCTACATCGAAACACTAAATGATAATGACATCAATGTACGCCGAGTAGCATTTATAACGTTGAATTCGATTCTACATAACAAAGCATCATTAATACGTGATTTTCTTGGACAAGTATTCCCTATGTTATATCGGGAAACTCATCCCAAGGTACGTAAAATTATGATTCATCTTTTTCTAATCAATTTTTTTCGATCAAACAGCCGGAATACGTACGAGAAGTTGAAATGGGTCCATTCAAACATACGGTCGATGATGGATTGGATCTTCGTAAAGCCGTATTCGAATGCATGTATACATTACTGGATTCCTGTTTGGATAAGGTGGAAATTTTCGAATATCTTAACAATGTCGAACTCGGCTTAAAAGATACGTATGACATTAAAATGTTAACGTATCTAATTTTGATACGATTATCCGATCTATGTCCATCGGCTATCCTTCAACGTAAGTCTTTTGTCAAAACTTTATAGTATAATTAAAATTATTATTTTTATCACTTAGGATTGGAAAATATTGTCGGTTTATTGAAAGAAACTTGTTTTGCCAAATTAAAATCGAATGCAGTTAAACAAGAATTCGAAAAACAGGATGAACTTCGAAGATCAGCTATACGAGCATTTGTCGCCATTTATCGTATTCGTGATGCTGGTTTGTATTAATTAAATTATTTGAATTTTCTACCATTAATTTTATACAATTATTACATAGATAAAGACGCTTCTGCAAATGAATTAATGAATGCCATCAAAACGATGCCCGAATTACAAAATTTATATGAATCAGTGATGGAAAGTAACAAAATCATCAATGAATTATTACCATCTATGGAAGTTGATTTTAATTGATTCGATCTTTTTGCTTGGTTATTTACGCCTACTCAACAAGAATTTGGAAAAAGAACAAACAATGGATTGAAAATTCATTCAAATTATAAGCTTTCTTTTCATAATTTTCAATGTTATTAATTCTTGATTAAAAATAAAAATCTAATAAAAAATGATGCTTTTACTAAGAACGTTTTAAAATATCTTTAACCCCCATATCAATAAGCTTCTTAGCAACAGAACGCCCAAGTCGCACAGAATTTTGTAACCGACATTCAAACTGATTATCGGTCTCTGAAATTCTTATGTCAGTAAAGTCTGAAAGCTCAAACGTTTCGTTTATCGGTACATTTTGATTGTCCAGATCTTCTGTTTGTTCACCTTGGACCGATTGCTTTCCATCCGTACTAAGAACTTTGGCCTTTAATGTTAACAACCATCTCTCATTGTTAGACCATTCTGTTTGTACCCCGATTGGTACTGAACAACCTCCTTCCAAACATTTCATCAGTACCCGTTCAGATGTACATTCAAATACTGCACGCGGATTGACTAACGGATGAAGAATTCGTTGCATTCGGTAATCATCAGCAAGACATTCAATACCTAATGCACCTTGTGATACTGCATGATACCAATTGTCGTCGGTTAATCTTAAGCTTATACGATCGTTAAATCCAGCTCTCTTAAGGCCAGCAGTGGCCAATATCAAACAGTCATAACCGTATTTAGGGTGATTGTCTAATTTATCTAACCGGGTGTTTAAATTTCCACGAACATCTTTTATGGATACATTCTGAGATAAATTACGAAGTTGAGCAATTCTCCGCAATGAAGATGTACCAAATGTTTGTACATGTTGCGTACAATCATCTATAATATATTTGATATTCATGTTTTGTTCCGTCTTATTTAGATGAATCAAATCCTCACGAAGTACTAATGAATCGCTTGGATCTTCACGTTGCATTATTGCACCAATACAACATCGATCTGGCAATGTAGTGGGCATATCTTTGAGAGAATGTACAATTATATCGATTGTCCCTTTTAATAATTCTTCTTCAAGCTCACGAGTGAATAACGCTTTTTCACCAATTTTGGCCAATGGACGATCAAGAATATTATCCCCAGTTGTATCGATATTTTTCACTACAAATTCACATTTTGGATAATGATGTTTGAGTGCATCAATAACCATATGTGTTTGAATCATGGCCAAACGTGATTTACGCGATCCAATCGTTAACAAAGTTGGCGCTTCCACCGATTTTTCGAATGATATGGTTATTTCTGAGGACATTTTGTTGTTCGAGATTTTTGGGTCCGTTCGGATAAGTGAATGTTGGAATGATTATCACAGATTCATATTCAGCTTGCGAAATAAATTTATTGGACATCAATATATCGTCATAATAACATGTTCGATTAATTATTATGAGAAGTTAAATTTTCATTCGAATTATTCACTAATTGGTAATTGTATCTATGAATCGATTGAATAAGCGTATCATTTGTCTGAACTTCTACCTCCAAAATTATACAAGCATGTTAAAAAATGTTTACGTTTGAAGAAGTAACATTCTTTATGAATAGTTTAAGCCAAAAAAACGGATGCCTCACTCAACAGTATACATTCTCTCTCGTGTGTGTGGCAAGCAAAGCATGCATGTTTCCTTTTTGTTTCACGCTTTAGCCGTATGTTTGTTGGCAGATTTTCATTTTTCTAAGTTTTCATCGATTTTTCTTGATAAAATTCGTTAAATATGGTAATTTTTTGTTTTAAATTAATTTACCTAAAATAATTGAATCTTTTAATATTAGGCTCGAGGCCCAAAGAAACATTTGAAACGTTTGCGAGCACCAAAATCATGGATGTTGGATAAACTTGGCGGTGTTTATGCACCACGTCCATCGACTGGTCCGCATAAACTTCGTGAATCATTGCCGTTGGTTGTAATGCTACGTAATCGTCTTAAGTATGCATTAACTCGTGATGAAGTGACTAAAATCGTCATGCAACGTACGATCAAAGTTGATGGTAAAGTTCGTACTGACATCAATTACCCGGCTGGCTTTATGGGTAAGTTTTTTCATCATTCAATGAATTAATTGGCCATTCATCGAAGACTTGAATGTTTTATGAAATCTATCAATGATTTTCAAGTTCAAATTATGGCCAAAATCATTTATGATGAGTGAAATTTGGTCGCTTGTTTTTTTTTCATTTTATGAAATACGAGCATACCCAGAGCTCTAACAATTTATTATTTTTCTTAAATTAGACGTTGTGACCATCGATAGAACCGGCGATTATTTCCGTTTGCTTTACGATATTAAAGGTCGATACATTTTGCATAAGATCAGCCAAGAAGAAGCTAATGTATGTTCTCAATTTAATTCTGAATTTGTCAAAAATTGATTAATTTTAATTTTTAGTACAAATTGTGTCGAGTGAAAAAAGTTGCTACCGGGCCGAAAGGTATCCCATATTTGGTCACTCATGATGGTAGAACTATTCGTTATCCAGATCCATTGATCAAAGTAAATGATACCATCCGCTATGAAATGGATACGGGAAAAATCGTCGATTCCATCAAATTTCAAACTGGAAATCTTTGTATGGTTACTGGTGGCCATAACTTGGGTCGTGTCGGTGTTATCACCTCGCGGGAACGACATGTGGGTAGTTTTGATATTATTCACGTGAAAGATGCATTGGGCCATACATTCGCTACTCGTTCGGCGTATATTTTTGTCATTGGTAAAAATAATTTGCCCTACGTTTCATTGCCGCGTGGTCGTGGTATTCGTTTGACTGTTGCCGAAGAACGTGATAAACGTTTGGCACAGAAACGAGCTGCCTGAATTGAATTAATGTATTTTATATAAAAATCGGTTTTTTCTCTACCATCAATAAAAAAAGAATTTTTTCAAATTTCTATCTGTTTAATTATTTGCTAACTCTAACTTGCGTTTATTAAATTGACTTTGAATTATATTACTTGCAAATCGAATCTATTTCATATCTTACCCATTGAAAAGTATGTGCATCTTGATTTTAATGATGGTCAAATACGAAATTGGAGATACTAATGATAAAAAAGAATGATAATTTGTAACTTGAACTGAAGTTTATTTTTCATCAAATCAGTATTTCCTAGAATTTTTCCCTCCTATTTTAGTCATTGTTCAATGTTTGTTTTTACAGAATTTTGTTTGTTTTTTTTTGTATTTCCTTTATCATTATAAAAGTGTCGATGATAGATTAATGATGAAACAGAAAATGAATCGTTGTCAATTTGTCAATCAGCTATATTTAATTATCAGATTTTTCCTGTTTATATTGCGATGAGATCTATAAAGCTTTTTTGTCGATTCGACCAGGCCTAAAGAATAAAAAAAATTCTTACTTTTTTTCACTCCATGAATTCCGTGCGTCAACGCATACGCATTTCATATGAATAATACGAAAAAATGGGACTAATCTTTGTTTTATTATTTTTTTAGCCTATCACTATAAAAAAAAGTTTCTGTATTTTTATTTTTATTATTTTATCAATCGGTTATGGTGTATAAGGGACTATATCTATCTATATATTTATAATAATAACAAAAAATTTCGTCTGTCAAATCGGTTTGGTATGCATTTGACAGAATCAAATCGAAAGCAAGAAATACCCATAGAGAATCAAGCTAAAACTAAGAATATCATATATAACTAACTCTATGCTCATAACGGCGGGTATTTTTTAATATTATTATTCTTACCGATTTGTTGAATCGATGGTCATTTCATTATTTGAATGCAGCATACCCGCACACATACACGTATCTTGTTGCAAAAAAAAATATTTTTATTTTATTTTTATTGTTGAATCGATAAAACTGTCATTCGTTGCATCAAATCTAAAGAATCGTAAAATCAAAAGTTAGTTAATAATTAATATTTATTCATTTATTTCAATTATTATTTGTGTGATCGAATTCAATGTTTTTTCCTTCTTTTTGATTGAAAAATCAAATCAATTACCCAATCATCAAACGATTATCATTCATTGCTTAGATGGTAAAATTCGATTACATATGCGTTTTTATTTTATCGATCACACTTTTATCGATTTCTTTTTCCTTCGAATCAACAAGCCGGAAATTCGATTACTAATTTTTATATCTCTATCTCTTTTTATTTATTTATTTATTGAACGGATTATTAATAAAAGCGAGCTCATTAATAAAAGTTCCGTTTCCGTCATCCAATATCATTTCTATTTTTACACATCAACATAAAACCGGAAAATGTTGCTCGATCCGCAAGAAACATCATCATTAAATAGATTGATTGTAAGACAAATTGGATGCAATAATCGTTCACGTTTGGCTAATCTTAATGGTAAGTTTTATCGTTGTTATTATTGCTTTTCAAAAAAACATTAAAATTAATTGTATAATATTGTGAAAGTTTGTTATTGTGAAATGTTTTGATAAAAATTCACAGAATCTAATTCCATTTCCAAATTCTTTCGAAATTTTTAACTATGTTATTTCACCTTATCTAGTATTTTTTCTATTCTGTATGATTTTAACGTAACCTTGATTTGAACAAGAAACAAATTATCTAATTCTATACATTCACTTTGCATATTTCGTGTTTTGATTTTATTTTTTCCCAGTTTTTTGTGGTTCAAAATACGTATCACATTTCTCGATTATCGAATCAATCATTGTCAATTTCATTTTTGTTTAACTTTTCTTATAACTAAGATAAATTGATTGATTGAGAATAAAAAATGCTTCTTTCAACATGCTTTACATTGTTTCGTTCATCAAAAAAGTAAATGAAGAAAAAAAAGTAAAAAAAAATCCGTATCAAACACACGAATTTTCAAGCGAAAACAACAACAATTTTTTTCATTCTGCAACAGAAAAAAATGATCTAATAGCATCTATCAACTGTATCGATTAAATATTGCAAGAAATTTTCTGGCAACTTTGTAAAAATCTAATCTATTTTAGTCATAAAGTTAATAACTTATATGAAATTAATATTTAGGTTTAATTTCTACTTATCAACTAGATTTTTTCCACACTATGGAAATAATATGGCGTCATAATCCATTCTTGGTTCTCTCTTTTATTTCACTTATTCTATATCTATTTCTTTTTAAAGTTCAGCAGTGTTTGAATAAGTTTATCTTATTCTACTTAATAAAGTTTGCTTATACTTAAATGTCTGTTTATGATTAGATAAAACAATGTACACACACACGCAATAAATGTAGACTGGTCTACACTTGAAATCTATTTGAATTATTTTCCTGTTTCCTTGAAATGAAAACCTTGTTACTTTCATTATACACACAAATCATTAAAGGCGATTTTAATTAAATAGTTTTCTATCAATATAGTAAACTTTATAATGTTTTTCGTCATCATGTTACGAAGAATTCTTGTTACGAAACACAAATCAATCAGATAAATTCTTTGATCATTAAGACAAATCACGTTCTGTACTTCAAGAGAAAGTATGAAAAAAGAGGGATTTGATTTTGTTAATTTTATTTATTCTTTAAATTCTGTTTTATTTTTTTCAATTTATTTTGGTTGTTGTTTGCTTATAAAAAAAATTATTTCTATTCGGAAAAAAATAAAAGCAAATATTTTATTCAATACATTCATTCATTTTGATCAATCAAAAGTTCAAAGAATTTTCAAAACTTTAACTCAACTAAATTGAATCAACAACAAAAATCATTCATCTGTAATGTTATCAAATCAGTGATCCATTTATGTGTGTGTTTGTAAAAATTAATAGAATTTCATCAAATAAATGAAATAAAATATAGAAATATATAGAACAAAAAAAATCCAATCTGTGATCAAACAGGATTGTAACGAATGTTGTATTGATTATGAAAATTTAAATCAAGAAAAAAAACAAATTGAGTTTCGATGTGTAGATACATTCATACGATAATTATATTCTTCGGATGATGATCAGACACCAAAGAAAAAAAAACATTTTTATGTTTCCAATTTATTCGTCACGAATCATTCATCAGTTAAGAAACAAAACAAAAAAGAAAAGAAAATCATAACATTAACAAAGAAGAAATTATTCTGTGACACAAAAAGATTATAAGAAAACAAAAAATTTCGATTTCAAATTTCCCTTCCTTCACTTATTCAGCTAAGCTTGTCAATCAAAAATTTTCTCTCCATTATTATCATTATACTCGAATGAACAAAAAAAATATTGTCAATAGCCGTCATCATATTTTTTTTTCTTTCCACATATATTTTACGATTTGACACTTTCATATTTTGTTTCTGATTCACTTGTTCATGAAATTTTTCCATTATAAAAATTATAATAATAATAATTATTATTTTTCAATATGAAATGGTGATAAAAATTTACCATGAATTCATTTTTTTTCTATATTCTGGTTTTTGATTACAATTTACATTACTGGATTTTTTTTCTATTTGAACTCAAATTCAAAATCCATAAGAGAAAAAAAAACAATGCAATTTAATACAGTGATTCATATGAGAAGATTTAGCCTTTTTTCTCTTTACTTTAAATTCAAAATGGATTTTCATTTTTTCCAACTTCATATTTCACACTGGATCATTTTTCCAATTTTTTTAGATAGAAAAATACAAAAATTATAAATAAAGAATATAACAACAAACGAAAAAAAATTTTGCCAGAATCTAGAAATTTAAGCCTAATTTACAATTCTGTCGTCTATTTTTCTTCTTCCTTTGATCATACAATTTACGTATTCTTCTTTTATATTATCATTATTTTTTTAGTTATATCAACAATAACAACCATATTTATAGCAAAATATTTTTACTAACGCCGGACATGTCATTGAATTCCTGAAGATAATGTCAGACATTATAAATAAGAAAAAAAATTAAAGATGAAAATCTGTTGCTGATGGTAAACTTTTTTTTTGTAGTTGTGTTTACTGGTTCCTTTACATTTTCCAGATTCTGGTCTCGTTTCAGTTGTTATTGTTGTTGTCGTTTTTTTCAATTTGAAAAAAATTAGTTGCTGTGTTGATGTCTTAATGCTGAATGAACCCGAATACAAAAAAAAAGAATAAAAATTTATAGTGATTATTATTATTTAATTGAAATGAAATGAACAAAAACAACAACAACAAAACCAACAACATATGCCAAATTTCTCATGCTCAATTATATTCGTTTAATTATGTTCATCAAATATATATAGTAAAATTTACATAATAATCAAAATAAGTTTCTTACATCATTTTCCTCATAACAACAAATCAATAATGCAGATAATATATAAAGAATTCTTTTGAATTTTTTTGCGTAAGAATTCTTTTTTTTCCTATTCACAATTCATTTCAATTCTCTGCTGTTTTTGCTGTTGTTGTTGTTTCCTGTCTGTGGGTGTGTCTCTATGTTGAAATGTTAACAATTTCAATTTGTGCAAGCTTACTTATTTATTCATCCATTCTAGTAAAGATTATATTTTTTTATTATTCAAATAGAAAAAAAGTGAATATGAAAAGAAAATCCCAAATAAAATATATTGTGAATGACATGATGACGATGATTATTATTTTTTTTCACATTTTTATACAATGAAAAAGAGAATGAAAATCGATTTTCAAATCTCCATTGGATTTAGATGGAATATTCAGTTATTTCATCATGCAGAATGTTGACACACGCTAACATGATCACAACCTTTGTCTGTTGATTTGAACAAATATTCTGGTTTTTTTTTGCATTTGAAAATTCAATTTTGTTTTATTTATTTTTTTGAAATGTTCAATTTACAATTATGATCTAGTGACATATAAATTAATTCTTTTTTTTCTCCAAAATGCAATCTATTGTGAAATATGAAGATTTTAAATTCAATAACATCATAATTCATATGATTGTTTTCCAAAGAATTTGTGATTGACAGAAAAAAAATTCATTCACTATTCAACGATTTCATTTCCATTGAAAAGATGAACATGTTTTTTTCTGCAAAATAAATACTGAAATATTGGCTTATCTGCATTGCTTTTTAATTTATATTTCAAATTGATTTGTATGAAGAATTTTTGTTTTTTTTTATTTGTTGTTTACATAATTCTTTGTATTTTTTCATAATTGTTTTTGTTGTTGTCGTTGGCCAAGTTGAATTTTATTTTTATCTTGAATTTCCAATAAAATCCACTCGAAATGTTATTATTATTCAAAATTCCAATATATATTGACAGGCGTGACAAGTTTTGCTTTTTCTTTTCGTTTGTTCTCAACGAAAAAAAAATCTGTAACAATTTGATTGACTCTTCAGTGAAAAAAACAAATTCCATTTATATATGACATTATGATATTAAAACATTTGCCTGTCATCGATGCTTATGATGGAATAATAGTAATATTTGTATGAACTATTTATGCTGAAATTGACAATTTATTCCTCTTTTTTCGAAGTATTGATTTTATTTTCTGGGCAAGGTAAATGGAATTTTTTTGGGTGTATCGGGAAATTTAAAATCTCAAAGGTTTTTCTATGATTAGATTCACATTAAGTTTAAACAAAATATTGTCAGATTAACATTGGGTGAAAATGCTTAAATTATTTTCACATTATATTCGAATAGGACTGGTTTCAAAAGTTGAAAAGAAAAACTTTTTCTTTTTCATCTTCGTTTTTCCACATAACTAAAGCATAGAATTTCATTCTGAATGAATCGATTCAATCGATTGTAAGCATTATATGCTATGAGTGAGAAATTGGTTTGCCAATATTTCATTATTGATCATGACAGTCAAACAAAAAAGAAAAAAAAAGTTACGATTGATGTTTCGATCGGCATAGAAAAATATTATTAATTTTAACGAAAGAATCGAAAAATTTCACTGTTTTTTCATGATGTTTCAAATTTTATTTCGCTATGTGGCCATCGGAAATATAAAAAAAATTTCATTTTCATTTAAAAATGGTTTTTCGACCATTAAAATGAAAAAAATTGTTGCTTTTATTGCTTGTTTTTTTCTATCTCTCATTCTAACTGACATTATTTTTTTCCAGTCAATTTCCCGAATGAATCTTGCTTGCAGCAATAACAACAAAAAAAACGAGAACGGCAGCAAAAAATTTCAACGACAAATTGAAAAAGATTTCTGTAGAATCCTAATCAATTTGAATTCTTGGAATTTTATTTTTTTTCATCAACAACAAAAACAAACAAATGAACAAAAAAAATAATTGGATTCTGGACACTTAATTTGTTAACATTTTTGTGGAATGCCGTCGACAAGATTTTCCAAATCTTGTTGTTTGTTTGTTTTTTCCTTGATTCATCATTATGATTCACCTTCATTGTAAACAATAATCATTATGATTAACAATCCAGCTAATTAATTTGATTGATTTTTTTCAAATATCATACTTCAAATGATCAATTTGAAAGGATTTTTTTTTTGCCTCATTTCTATCTCTTTTTTTTCTCGCTTTTACACTTAAATAAATAAGCACAATAAAATGTACATTTAATAAATGTCCAAATTGGAAAACTTTTTTTTCCTGTTTGCTTCTTACAAAAAAAAAACAGCTAATGATATGATTGCAAATGATGATAATGAAGAATGGGAAAGGAAAAAGTAAAAACAACAACAAGGAACAACAAAAATCACTAGAAATCAGAGATTGTGATATTGATCCTGATAACAAAAGATGAGATGATCATTGTTTGATTACTAGATCTACTTGTTTTTTTTTGTTTTTACTTAAGAGTAACTTTGATGTAAAAGTCAGATGACAGAATCTTTTTGATTAGAGTCAAATAAAGAGAATGAAAAAACAAAAATGTTTTCATTACAATGTTTGCAACCATCAATTGATGACTATTTACTTAGAATAGAAAAAGATTCAGAAAAAATTGATGACTATTTACTTGAAATAGAAAATGATTTTAAGATAAAAATTGATTGGTTTCATTATTCATTCAATATTTTATGTCTATGTGAATGTATATCAAATTCCATAGAATCAGATGACTCAAATGCTTGTTGGAATTAATTATATAAATTAAGCTAAAAATTTGAATCAAATCTAGTGAATTTTCAAAAAAACTGTGATTTAAAACTAATCGATTAATGAATGATAATTATCATTGATTTGATTTAGCCAACAAGACAAACAAGACTGATTGGAAAATGAAGAAAATAATTATTATTACAATCTAAATGATAAACTTTAGATGAATTGAATGTTACAAAATGCTTTCAGTATACTTTCGAAATGAAAATTGAAAATGACGGCAATCAATAATGAAGATCCAAGAATCGTTGTTATTGAATCATGTTTCAAGGAATTTCTCTAAACAAACAAAAATTTCGAAACCCGATAGATCAATTCGAATTGAAACATACCAATGTGAATTTGATCATTTTAGGTTTTTGGTCATATAAATTGTATTTTTTAGATCTGTACGATAACGAACGATATTATCTTTCCAGAATAATTTCGTCCATCTTTGTTTATATTGTTTCTATTGAAATCGTTATTTTTTGTTTGGTTTCCATATGAATAAAATGATTAAAATCTATAGTCACGTTCAATTTCAATGTAGACAACAAAACAAAAACAAAAATTTCCGAATAGAATCAATAGAAATGAAAAAAAAATCATAGTGAATAATGGAGAAAAATAAAATAAAATAAAAATAATACCATTCAAATCATTAATGTTTCTATTTCCATTTTCTTCCGTATTCGTATTCACATGTACAATTCTCAGTAAATGAAAAAAAAAACATACACCTACATATGGACGCATTTCATTTATATACAACAATAACAACAAAAAAGAAAGAAAGAAAGAATTCATTCCTCAGCATACATGGGGAGATATTGATCCGTATTTCATTTACATTGATCGGATATATCTGTAAAAAAAACTAATAGAATTTTTTATGTATGCCCATGTGACTATACCTAATCTCAACGACAATAACATTAACAAATAAAGAAATTCTCATTATCATTACTATGTCATTTGTAATGTTCTAATGGTACAATAAAAATCAAAGAAAATTCTTAAAAGATTTTTTTTTTTTTTGGTAATTTCAAAGTGTCAAATAAATACCTAAACAATGAATGAATACATGAACAAACAAACAAATGTAACCTCATCAATTCTTTATGACTTTATTTTAAATTCTTAGTTAGGTTACCTTAAGATTCATACAGTCATTCGAATAAATGTTCAAATCGATATCATTTCGAAAAGATATTGATTCTGATTTGTTGACACATGCGTATTTGTAAATGGTAGAATGAAAATGAAAATATTGATTTATTTTTTTGTTTTGTTGATATTGTTGTAATCATTATTTTTATATTTTTCAAAGAATAAGGATATTATCTCTTAATCATTTAATTAAGACGGTTTATAGACGTTCTTTTTCAAACCAGGGATATGACACATCAACCTACACAGACAAATCATATTGATTAGCGTAATAAAAAACAGAATTTTTTTTCCAACAATTCTTTCGTTATCATTTGCAAATAAAAGTGGTTTTTTCTAAATAAAAAAAAGTTCTACTTACACAAAATTGGCGCCATATTGTTTGACTTTTCATTTTTTTCATAGTTTTCTTTTTGGTTGATTGAGTTGCGATCGAAATATTTGCTGTTAGCGTCATATTTTCCCTTTCCTCCCTGTCTACAATAATAGACGAAAAAAAAGAATAAAATTCCAAAATTTTTAAAAAATTTTCAACACAAACACAGCTGAAACATCAATTATTTGTGTAACACACATTTTGGATATGTTGTTTTTTTTATGAAAATTTGAATTTCCTTCGCTCTTTTCAGTTGAATTTTTCACTCTCTGGAGAAGAAAACTTTTCTTCTTCTTTTTTGTTGTTGTTGGATGCAAAAATCTCACCCACTTATTTTCTATTATAATGCAAATCATTGAATAAATTCAATGTTTGATGATGATATCATTATTATTTTTTTTTCACTTCGATGAATCAAAATCATTGCATACATTGCATATGAAATGAAATGTTAATTCATTTGTGAATGTTGTTTCTGGTTGCAATAACAATGGTCATAGGAAACGGAATGAATTTTTTCGGAATATCAATGGCCTGAATCTAAATTTTTTTCACTGCCTTTTTTGTTTGAATTAATGCATTCAACCTTCTTTGTTGTTGATCAAGGAAAAATGTACAGCAGCAAAAAAAATGTGTGGCGAAGGTGTGATTGTAAAGAAAATTTAAGATTCGAAAAGAATTTTTGGTTGAAATCATCACGTTTTTATTTTTGTGCAAATTTTATCCAATTTACCAATGATTAATATTGTTCTTTTTTTTATTGATAAAATTATCTATTTCAGGTAATAAACTCATTCTATGCAGTTCAATTAATCGTGGTGAATCAATCAAATATGATTGGGTCGATACAATGACCATAAATGGTTTATCATCAGCATCATCCATTGTTAATAATATATCATCATCATCCGACAATAATGAATCATGGTCATCAACATCATTCAAACATATTAACAATACCGGTATCGATAGTACAAATATTGATCATCAACGTATATCTACACCCGTTTTTCATATATTTTATTCAACAGAATATTCCGATTCAATTATTTATATAATGGTATGTTTATGATATTGAATTTGATTTTGTTTAAAAAAATCGACTCATCACATACTGAATCGACCAAGAATTTGTATGTGAAAATGAATAATTTAACAAATTTTTTTCACAAACTAAACAAAAATTTTTTTCTTTTTCTTTTTTTTTCTATGCTCCACTGATTATGATTGTGAAAACAAAAATTGAAAAAACAAACTACTATATCGTCGGGATCCTATGTTATTCTACACTTGAATTTTATCAATCTCACTCTTTATCAAAGGCTGTATTGTGTATATATTTTCTATTATTTTCATTATTAATCTATGCAAATTGGACTTCATTCAACCACAATAACAATGATAATGACAAAAAAAGTCGAAAAAAACGAAAACGAAAACAACATAAACGAGAAAATAATAATAATAATAATAATGTTGTCAACGGCAACAACAATCAAGTAATTCCGAAACCGAAATTTCATTTGGTAAATTTTTTCGGAAAACAAACACCAGAAACAACAACGACAACATTATCGCATGCTGATTATAATCTAATACGAATTGATCCAATGATTATTGAAAGAAACGATCATCATCATAATCGACCATTTGGTTTGATTTACGTTGTCACTACAATCATACCAAATACAATCAAATCCTCATTGAAAAGATTAGTGACCAAATTTAATCAACGACAAAAACGCCCGATAATAACTTCAACTGATTCGGGAGCTCCACCCGATAACCATGAACAGACAATAAAATTTATGGATCAATATTCTCAAAATCAGAATCGACCAGAATTTATATAATTTTCATTTTATTTTCTATATTTTCCATAATAAACATGAAAAATCCGTATTTTCAATCAACACTCATAGATGGCAGTATTTTATTCACGACCAAGAAAAATCAATAGATTTTTTTAAAAACTTTTTAATCTGAATTCTTTCTCACAAACATATACACCTACACCTGTTTGACACCCAAAGATTTCAATTCCTTAAATGTATTTTTGTTTTTCGTTTATTCCATTTGGCATAACTGGATATAAATTTGTTTATTTATATAAAATTACTAAGATTTAATTTATCTGATCTAAGTTTTTGTTTCTAATAATTATTGCAACAGCTTATCGTTTCGTTGATGTTTTTGCTCTGCTAAATTTCCAGAACAATGGGTTATTTAATCGTGATCAACCAGGATAATGTTTTGCTTGCAAATTCTGTTTTGTCGTAAACTAATGTCGGCTGTGACCGATTTTGTTTTTGTTTTTGTTTTTCGTTCCACAAGGGTATTGTTTTCCGTTCGTCACAAACTTTTCCGATGTTATGTTATGCAAATTTAATATATTATTATATAAATAATTATGAAAATATAACCAAGAATCATCATCATCATCATCATTATTATTATTATTATTATTATTGCAATGTTGTTGGTTATGAAAATTTTTATACAAAAAAAACATACCTTAACATTACATAATTATAAGCTTATGGAAAATAATTCTGGTTAAATTGTCCATTCTATTAGATTGTGTGGTTTTTTATTTCACTCTTTTGATTCTCGTTATCTGTCTTGTTGATCAAGAAAATCATCTATTTAATGTTTTTTAAATTATTTTTCATTTCGTTTCAAGATCAAATGAATTGATCAAAGCAAAGGAAACAGCAATGATCATAATTGGATTGATCTATTCAAGGACAAAAATTATCATCATTATTATCTGGATTTGGCAGCGAGATTTCTTTTTTTCTCTAATTATTATCAAAAAAGAAAAGAAAATAATAATAATATTCACTTTACATCGATCATTATCAAATCGATCGTTATACGCGCATGGTCTAAATCGTAGAATAAAATGAATATATTCTTATGAAATAAAATTTGGATTCTTTCAAATTTTTTATTATATATGAATTGGTTTGTTAGAATTTTTTTTTGTTCGTTCATATGAATGAATATGCGCAGTATTTTAAGCGGGCAACATTTGATTTAATTCTTCGATTCGGGTTCTTTTTTCTCGAATCTTTCTCGATGGTTGGTAATCATCATTTATGTTCTAGCAATTGACGATTCGAGTGCACCTTTCGTGATTCTCATTATCATTTTTTTCTTCTTCTTCTTTTTGTATCCGGTGTTTGAAGAAAAGTAAAATTCAATATAAACGATTAGCAACATCCAATTCTATTATCATCATGCGTATACCAAGCTTAGGATCCACTCATAATTGGTTCGTATATTCGTTTTTTTTTTGTTCTTTTATCACGAACAAACTTTTACACCTTATAAATAATCAATAACAAACAAACACAAAGTTAAATGGAAAATTGAAAAATTACAAAAAATGTCATTGTAAATTTCAAGTTTTTTTTTGGTTTATAAATAATGTTATCACTATTGTTGTTATGATGATCACGTAGAATAAATTTTTTAGCAACAATTAAAGTTTCGAGTTTCGTTTCGTAAAATTTGGTCATATTTTTTCTTTCTTTCTATCTTTTTCGATTCTTTATCTTCATTTTGGTTATATAATATTCATGAATAACAAAATTCCATCCAAAACCGGCGAATAATAAAAATAGAATAGAATTGTATTTCGTAAAATAGTGAGTGTAAGAATAATAATAATGAAAAAAAGGTGGGAAAATGTGAATGATCGATGAATCGATAAATTTACATAGACATAGAAACAATATATTTTTTTCAAATATATAAAAAATATGAATATGAAATATGAATAACGATAGATATTTTATTCATCAGATATGAAAAAACTATTCCAAAGGTCGTATTTTATTTTTAATATAAAAATGATGATAATAATAATAATAATAATGGAATTCTCTCTCTCTCTCTTTTTCATCAACTTGTTTCATTTCATTTTATTTCTGCCTGTTTATCATTATTGATCGGTTCGGAAATTAGTTCTCGATCGATTGGATCTTATTATTAAAAAAAATACATAATTGATATTGTGATGAGTAGAATGTAATATACACACTGTGAAAAAAAGTAAAATAGTTAATCGATTATTATTAATTACCAATTGCTTTTTTTTCTCTATCTCTCTACATCTATACACACAATCAAACATTTTAAGTAATTAATCATCATCGTCGTCGTTTTTTTTTGTTGTTTTGAAATTGATTGAAATTCGTTGGCATCATTTACTCATCTTTGTTTGGCATTTTGGATTCCCGTCAAATATATCGATGATGATAAATATCGCTGTTCTAAAGTTTTTTCCAAAAAAAAAACAATTCAATTGACCTTTTTTTAAACCATGGAATTTTTTTTTGTCAAGGATGAAAACAGTTTATAAAAAATGATTGGATTTCTTTTTTTTATGGACTGACGAATAAGACTTTCGTTTTTTTCAATTTGGAAAATTGAAATTTGATTCGAATGAATTTCCATTAACTTTTTTTTTATTGAACCATTTAAAACGTTTGGCCATTTTTTAATTGACCACTCACATGATACAACGAGGTAGTTCAACATACCCGAGAATCATATTTTTCTTCTGTGGCTATTTATATAAAAATTGAAATTCTATACTAAAACAAACAGTAAAAAAATATCATTGTATCTAATGGCAACCATAGTTTGCTGCGAATTGTTTTTTTTTATAATCTCATTTTCTTCACCATTGTCGTCATTTTGATATAAGCATTTCCTATTTATTTTAGTTGTCCATATTTTTTTCTTGTATTAAAATAATTATCAACAGTTTCATATGACAAAGGAACTATTTTTCGACAGTTTCGGATGACAATATTGATTGTTTGTATTCGGGACAAAAAAAAATTCCATCCTTTTTTGATTTGTTTGTTTCCCGCTTATTTGTATTTCGACGTCATCTAAAAGAAAATAATTAGAATAATTCAAAAATTGTCAATTTTTATTTATCATTCTTGAATTCTATTGTCAATTCAATTCAATGTCAACTCGATTATCACCGATGATTTTGTCAACATTCAAATTCTATTCAGATTTTTGAATGAGAAAAACAAATGACAGTTTTTTTTGTTCGTTTTCCATCAACATTATCCTTGAATCTATCTGGTTTGTTTTTGTTAAAATAGGATAGAAATTAAGCATAAATTGATCAAATTATATTATATATTTTTCCCTTTCAAACACCCATCCAATTCTGTAAATTGTTTTCATTTCTTACGGCAGCAATAACAACAGCCAAAATGATAATCATAATGATAATGATCACAGATATTATTTTTTTGGCTGACATTCTTTTTCGGTCTCATTGTTTATTTATTTATTTTTCGTTCATATTGAAATCATTTAGGCATATTTTATATTCGTCTTGTTCTGCTATCGTTATTTTATTTATCCAAAAAAAGAACTCTTCATCTTTATCGCATTCATCTGCTTATAATGAAATTTCATTATTCTAATGATGATGGAAATGATATTATCATCATAATGAAGACGTTGTTCATATGATTATGATTATGATGATGATAATGATATGGGAAAAAACCAGAAATTTTATAATATTTAGCCGGCACAATGGTTAGGTAATTTTTTTTGAAAATAAAATTTCTGGAACATTTCTTAAAATTGTTGATGATCATATCTTATCTTGATATTTATAGCTATGATATTTATTATTGTTTTTGTATTTATTCTATAAAAATTCATGGTCATCATCATCATCATCATTATCATAACAATCTGTTTAATTCTCTATTCTTGCGTTTTCAGGCGTTTTCTTTTTTGTTCAAGTAATTCATATTTTTCTCAATTTTTTTTCTATTTTGCTTCCGCTCTCTTTCTCGATTCATTCGGAAACATAACCATAATAATAATAGAAAAACGACTAACTAGTTATTAGAAAATAGAATGAACAACCAACCAACAAAAAAACTCAAAGAAAAATTGATATTTCATGTTTGATATGAAACAAATGTTGTTCCTTGCTCTATCTTTATATACATCATGATAATAATAATAATAATGACTGACTTGAGAATTTATGATTTCGATCGCTATATTTATCCATTCATTGTGTGTGTGTGTGTGTGTCATATGTTCCAATTGCGTGAAAAAAGGTTTCATTACATAATTTTCTATATTTTTTGTGTCAAAAAAAAATATTGAGTTTATTTGTACTTGGATATATCATGAGTGTGTTATCTTATTGTATGTAATGTCGTTGTTTAGTATTGAATTCTGATCTTTTTTTCCATGTTTTTTTTCACGAAATAATTTAGTCTTTTTTTTGGAAAATACCATACAGACTAAAATTGATTATTTTGTTTTATTTTGAATTCTTTTATTCTTGTTTGATTTGATTAGGTTGTTTTCCTGTTGTTGTTAAATTCAATCTGTGTTGTTGTTGTTGATGATGAGAATTTTTGAACAAACATAACTAGAATTTCAATATTTTTATTTTTATTTTTATTTTTATTTTTATTTTTTTTTTTTTTTTTTAAAAACAAAATAAAATCTTGTCATTCAACACACATACTTATGAAACTAGATTGGTATCCGGGAAACAACACNTTCTGTGTTTTTGTTGTTGATGATGAGAATTTTTGAACAAACATAACTAGAATTTTAATATTTTTATTTTTATTTTTATTTTTTTTTTTTTTTTTTGAAAAACAAAATAAAATCTTGTCATTCAACACACATACTTATGAAACTAGATTGGTATCCGGGAAACAACACAAAAAAAAAATAGAAAATGTCAAAAATTTATGAGCTAATTAAATTCAATTTTCTCACACTGTTTTTGTTTAAATTTTTCATCACACTCCAAGCTGTGATATTACAGAATAACATTTGTTGTTCAAACATTTTTTTTCATAATTTGATGGATTAGATTTCATTCTCTTGCTATTTACAAAAAAAATATTACAAATTTAGATTGACTAAATCTCTCTTTGAAATCTAATTTTGTTCTATTCCATTTCTCTCTTTTTTTATATTATTATTTTTTGTCTATTTGTTTTGTGTGTCTATGAAAAAACCTAATAAGATAAAAAAAAACATGAAAATTTCCCGACAATTCGGTACAACACTAGAACATTACACGGACCTTCACATTCATATGACCTTTCTGTTTTGATAATTTATTTTTGTTCATTACAATGTTGTTATGTATTTTTTTCAATTTCAGAACATTTTCAGAATTTTTTTTCAAAATACAAAAAAAAAATGTTTCATATTTCAATATCGTCAATGTTTTATTCAAACACACAGACATATATTTGATTCTATTTGTTTTGTTTTTTTTTCTCCGATTTATTTGTATATTCAAACATACAAACACACATTGAAAACATTTTCTTTCTTCAGGCAATTTACCGTTCGTTCAGATTTTTTTTGCTGTTTTTCTCATTTGATTTTGATTTGACCAGATTTTCATTTTTGATTTCATGCTCATAATAACTTTGTGTTAAACATGTTTTCGAAATATCATTCATTTGAAAATTGAGATTTTTTCAAATTTATAATATTCTTCAAATGATTATTAATAAGAATTTGTTGATCTAGAGAAAAAAGAATCACGTTTTCAAATAAAAACAAAAAAAAATCGCAATCAAGTATAAATTTGATTTTTTTTTGTTAAATCAATGAGAAAGGAACTGAATGAAGAAAAAAATCCAGTATATATTTTCCCCTTTTTCTCGTTCACCATGAAAAAATTGTGGATTGATTTTGTTTGTTTGTTTGTTTGTTTGTTCGTTGTTGTTATTGTTGTCAGCAATTCTTATCCATCGATGAAATTGTAAAATAAATTTTTAACAATTTTTATTTTCAGTGTCTGTGTCTTAGATTCGATCATTTGATTGGATCGGATTTGATCGTACACAAGGGAAAATCGGTACCAATAATCTTTATGTTCATTATTGCTTATCGTTTTTTTATTATATTTTTCAATTTTATTCTATATAATTATCATTGCTAAAATATCATCATGTTTATTACTTTTTTTTTACATCTTCACAAATACAAAATAATGATAGCAATAATGACTATTTCCGAATTATTGTTTCATCGTTGTAATTACATCATAACTGTATACAGCCGAAAGCATCAAAATAACAATCTTATAGTGTTGATTCTTAGTTGAATTTTTCAAACATCATTTCATCTGAATGTATTTAAGATATATATAGAAAAGATTAGATAAATGAATAGCAAACAAACAAACCAATAAAAATTTTATCAATTTTATATGAATCACAAAATATAGAATCG